TCGACTTTCTGGCTCCCCCCACTTGGTCATAATTACATTATGGTGACTTTGAAGGCTCACCCCCCTTGAGAAACATGGAACGAAGACGCTCTTAATTTCTCTTCATAATGATCATTATCAATGCCAATTAAATTTCGATTTCTCATGGCTGGTTCTGGTGACCGGGTCAGTGTTTCCGAGCTTCGATCGTAGTTTGGCTCCTCTTATGAGCAGGGGTTCTGCACTAGAAAATCAAAGACATTTTGCTGCATTGTACCTTTCCAGACAGGCTATGGAGTATCAGCTTTGACTTGATCCAACTTCTATGGCATTCTATCTGCCCGGCTCCTTTGATTGTGTGACATACAAAAGTAGATCGCCCGATGCTCATTGGCTGTTGACCACTATAAATAAATTAAGTGGAGGGGCTATTTTTCTTCATACCCTTTTCCCATTTTCTTCGCCCTTCAGGAAAATGAAAAACACAAGAAAGGAGATCCCATCAACTGAGAGATGTACTGTGTACACCTAGTCTACTCGGTCACAAGCATTCTTGGAGATAAGAGTATTGTCTACCATTTATTAGGCTCATCGAGTCTACCAGTAGTAATAATTCCCTGATGTCAAGAATGCATAGAGTAATAATCCATGTTGTTATTGTGTTGGAAACCTGATCTTGAAACTTCTGATACATGTCAAACTTTAGCCATGGCTTAATCCTTGATTCCCCTCTACTTAGATTTGGCGATGTTTTATCTATCCCATGAATGATGATTCTTACTTCTTGGGAAGCTGGGATAGTCTGTTGTACCTCCGGTAGTTGGTCAAGGCACCAATTGATTCTTTTCTCTTCTACTGTTTTAATTCTGGAAGTTATCTTCACCGCCAAACATTAGTAGCCAGTCTGGATCCAGAAAACAAGGCCCCTACATTTAGTCCTAACATTTTATGGATCGTGTTTGTCACTAGTGTGACAGTAGTGGTCTTGTTTTTAAAGGGAACCCTGATTCAATCTATGCAATAATAATCGATTGCACTAGGCCTGATTTGTAGGCCGGCCAAGTAAATCCAGTCAATCCACACTCCTTTTGGCTTCTTGTACTACTTACACGCATCTGAACATGTCGAATTGACCTCAGATTCACTTTATCAAAGTCAGAATGGAAAATCAGAGCTTACTTATATTAGGAACTTCGATTTCAATGCCCATCTTAAGGTGGATATTCACAATATTTACTCTTTTTGTTTTATTATTACACTGCTGCATCTGCATCTGATACTGGAGCCCACTAACTTAGTGCTGTTGGAGGTCCTGCCTTGATCCATGGGTTTTGTTTGTTTTCTGATGACCACGAAAGTCAAACTGGGTTTGCTCTACAAAACAGAACTACTACTAGTATCTTAGTCTACTAGTCTAGCATTTTAGCTGATGAGAGCTGTCCAAATCAATTTGCATCTATTACTTAGTCTATTTTATTAGTTTTTTTTCCTTCGCCTCATTTTACCCTTACCTGCCTATCGCAAGAGATTTAAGTATTTTTCTCATCTAGACTGTTTAGCATTTAATCTCAACCTAGGAGGACTAGTTACATACTTCAATTAGTATCTAAACTCAATCCTTGTTTTCATATCAATCCAACCATCAGAAATCCCTTGCGTCAGCCGTTACCACTTGTATTCTTCTACTCCAGAATAGTCATCTTAGTGGGCGTCAATCAACAACTGGAGGGTCCACGGGAAATTTCCAATGGTCTAGAAAGCAGAAAAACGGGCAAGGTGCAGCTAAGACAGCCACACTAGCAGTTTGTTTTTCTTCTTTTCTGCTTTTTTGACTTTTTGTGACTCTATTGGTGAGCTTGGATTGTACGTACTACTTCGATTTCGCTGCAAACCCACCCTGCAAGTGTAGGTAAGTCTTGATTTTTCAGTCCTGTATTTCCCTTATTTCCCTCCAATCTCGAGTTGTCCATTGCTTTTCTGTCATTCATCTCTGTTCTTTCATACCTTACCTTTCTTTCCCTCCTTCGAGGTACTCAATATCACCGTCTATAATCGTCTATCACTTTGTTTACATTTTATCTAATTGATAATACTTACATCTCTCTCTTCTCATCTTTATCTGTCTCCAAATACACATCCCCTTCTTTGCGAGGCAGTTTCACTCGTGACGACTACAAAGCCAACCCACAACTCACTGCATGCTCTTCGGTACAGAGGAGAGATCCAAGTACACTTGAATATTAGTAAACGTTCGAAGGCTCATTCATCATGACGGTGGCCGCACCGCCTCCAGTCCCTCCCTCTGTTCACGAGCATGGCATCAATGGCCTTCCTGGCCATGCTGTGAACATGAGTCTGCCGCGATTCCACCCAATCGCAATGAATCCGAACCAGCCTATCCCTCCAGAACATGCCATGCAGAATCATCACCATCATTACTACCGTCCTTTCCCCCCTCCGCCGCCTATGCAGGAGCCCGGTCCGTCTGGCCCTCCAGGCCCTCCCGGTCCCCCTGGTCAACCTCCCTCTATAGACCATATCGAAGCTCGGTTGAGGCAATTAGAACAGGAGGAGGCCGCACGAATGGCGGCCCGAAGTCAACTACTTGCGATTCGGAAGCGGGAAGACGAGGAGTTTCGTAGGATGACTGAGCATGCTGAAGCCGAAGAAGAGGTATGCTGTGCCATCGTGATGTGGTGACCTTCAGTGACATAACCGCTGACTTCTTATTCAGGAGCTTCGTAGACAAAGAAAACGTCTAAAGAGAGAGTCTATGGGACTCGGGTATAATGCAACTATTGACTCGCCGCCTCTGCGGCCCACGCCGCCTCGTCGCTTGTCAGAAACGAATGCAGCCACGACCCTTGCGTTCTTCAAGCAACAAAGTCCCCCCGAGCCACGTCATATCCCACAACAACCACCGGCGGTGCAAGCGCCCCCACCTCACCACCCTCCACCACAACATACACAACACATCCAGCATGACCCGTCAGCGGCCAATGCCATCAGACGGAAACAAAAATACACGATTAAGAATGTAGAGGCTTGGGGGGAACGCCATGGACGTCCCGCCGCACATGATCCTTCCGGACGAGCGTTGTGGAAGCGGCCGTCGGACGGCAGCTTGGTCTATCTGACCTGCCCGGTTCAGGGATGCGGCAAAGCTGATTTTGTGACCCTCCATGGCTTCATGTGCCATCTGACGAAGAAGCACAAGGACCGCAGCCTGGGAAGCCAGTCTAGGGCGTTGGAAGTCTGCGGAGTGGTCTTTGACCCCAATGCTCCGCTCCCGCCTGTCTCTTCCGTGAATCGTGCCTCAACTGAGGAAAGCCGTGTAGAGTCAGCCCCGGCAGATCCTGACAACTACTCCAACGACATGGAGTATTCGTCCGCTTCTGATGAAGAAGGCCGGGAGCGGTGTCCTGTGAAGTCAGAGCCGACAGAACGACCTCTGCCCACCCCGGCAGCGTCTCTACCCACACCCGAAGAACCCACGACACTTCCGAAACCGAATGGCTTCACGAAACAATCTATCTCCTCGATCATTGATCGAGATCCTACCGCTGAGCAACGAGAAAGCTTGAGTTCTGCGGTTCCTCACACCTCTCCACGATTGTCGCCAGCTGCATAGCGCTTAATAATCCAGCAAAGAGAAATTAATTCCTAATAGTACCATTGAATGAATACACAAAGCTGAAGGACTGAAGGAAGCACGCATATCTATCTCTATATCCCTTGTGGTTAATGGTCTCATGAGCTAGTTGCGGAACCAGGCATTGTAAACTAATTATGGGACTAGGCCTTGGAAATAAATAGTCATAGGCCTAGCTGGTATATGCCTGCATGTCTATTTGTTAGTACGTTAGATTGAGATCTTGATAATAATAGGCCTTGATGAAGCTCTAGGTTCTCTACTGCAGTGGTAAGTTACCTCCCCTTGTTGTGACACTTTGCAGGTAACATCTTTGTAGGAAAATCATACCACTAGGACACCTTCGCCTCCCGCGGGCACTCCCAGGGCTCAATGGGATGCTCCATCCACTCCCCATCTAGGAGTCTGTCTGCCTGAACTATACAAGAACAAAGGACATCTCATAATCCTTACAACTACCCTCACTCTCGCGAGGCCTTCTTTATCCATGTCTCTGCTGCTGCAGTGATGCACCTTAGTTCTCTTTATCTTGGCCTTTACTTGTGAAGGACTGACCGCAACAATTCATTTGGCTTAGAACGGAATATTCACAATTTCAACCCACCCCAGGTAAGGTGTAGGCGCTGTGACATATATAAGGGCTCTCTGCCCCTGTCCCCCTCCGTCTCTCTTCTTCTTCTTATTCTCCTTGACAACCTCATCATCTTCTTCCTGTGATATACCTTGGTTTCTCGAACAGCAATCCCAATCCAACAGAGCCGTGAAGGAAAGATAGTAAAACTGCCTCCATTATCAGGTAACTGAAGTGGTTCCTGACCCTAGGGCGCCAATGACGTTATAGTGCATCTTCCACTTAATTCCTCTCTTCATAAGGTATTGACTCATTTCCTGTCATGACTTTCCCATTAGGGTATTTCTGTCCGCAGGCGGCCGCCGCGATAGCACTGAGTCCTCACCATGCCATGATGTCTTGTGCAGGCGCACGCAACGTATGGTTTTACAATGGTTTAACCCATGAACTCCTTGGTGGTGTACAACAGAACGGATCAATCACGAATGAGAACCTTTTTGAAGTGCTCACAAGCATATTACTCATTGTTGAAACATCAATCACTATTTGTTTAAGAGCCACTGGCCAGCCAATTCTGCTAAATGGCGAACCTTTAGAGAAAGGACACTATGATATCTTTTGTGCTGGAGGTAAGTATAGAGCAGAGTCCGTTGCAAACATTAAGGTAGTCAGCGTGCTAAAGCAGAGCCTGGTAGCCACGGCCAACAAGTTGGCGATGTGATGGACTCTGAAACCAGAAGAAAAATGGCGGAGTCGTCCACTGCATCCTTCACTTCAGAGTAGTAAGAATAAGCCACAATGAATCTGGCTAACTTTTTAGGCGACATCAAGCTCACTGATGAGACGCCCGTGCTCCGGATATGGTCCCATAGCCAAAGTGGTCCAGAGACCTCTTTCAGGGATGGAGTGAGGGCCCGAGACAAAAGATGTGTCTTGACTGGAGTTCTATGCCGTGGTGCCAGCGAAGGCAGATGGGGAACGTTTCAAGCAGCACATATCATTCCCGTAAAGGAGGAAGCACCCTTCAATCGAGATTTCAGCCACCTGATTACCACAGGATCTCATACCGCGCCCCTTGACTCAGTTCAGAACGGCATATTGTGGGTGAAAATATGCATGGCGACTTCGACAATTTCCTAGCTTCTGTGAACCCCGATGTAAGTAGTTGCACTGAGCCCTTAGCAAGCTATTGATCTCTTACCAGTCCACCTTTAGGATTGCTACAAAATCACCCACTTTGGTGACGATAACTGGGGTGTTGATGGCAACCAGTTAGATGAGGTATGCCGAAAGGAAAATGATCCCAACAATGTCGCAGACGAATTGCTCCGCTGGCACTTTTGACAGTCTGTTCTGGCAAACATGAAGGGGACTGGGGAGCCCATCAGGGAGCATGACATTCCCCCGGGGACAGATATGATTAAAGAGATAGTCCAGGGGCCAAATCCAGCACAGATAATGGAAGTAGAGCTCTATACCCGACTTCAGGTATTCCAAAGAAAACAACGCGAGGTTTGTACATGATAGTGGGTTAAGTTCAGGGAGTGATGGAGTGGAGCTTTACACACTTGACGGAAGCGGAATGACTCTTCTTACACAACATAAGGCGCGGATATCTTATTCATGGCCATCATGTTATAGCTGGCTAATGACGAGAGAAGCATACCTTCCCGGTTCCACCAGGTATACCACCGGCTACTCAATCTAACCGACTGACACGCGGGTGATTTTTGGCCGGTGAGTAAAACCTTTCTTCCAGTCCGCAGGATATTCTGGAACTGTATCTAGATCCCTGATGGGCGGAACTTTGTATGTCCTTTAATAGTAATGACTTCTAAAAAAGAAAAAAAGAAAATTGACATACCGGCTCTGCCAGGCTCTTCAAGAGCCTACGTAGCATCTCTCAACAGTAAAAGATGCACAACATAGCCTGTCCCCGATCTGAGGCCTTCACCCAACGCCTCATCGCTCAGTCGCCACACGCGAAACACCCTCAGGGTCTCTTGCAGCCACGCCTCGAAGACATCCGGAGACCGCTGCTGTTGCGCGATAATGCAAATCGTCGGGGGCCAGCTCGCTCGCCGCCCCGCCGTATGAACCGGCCTTAAGCGACAGAAGTCCGCGCACGTGCGCACAAAGGGGGCAACAAGCGCCTCGTTGTAGATACAATCGCACGATAGGAGGAGATCGAACCCTTTATCGTCCCCTTCCTCATCGTCACGGTCATGGTCATCGTCCCCCTTGAGCCCGATACTATCTTTCAACGACGCCGGAACATCCAGTTCCCAATCTAGCGCGGCAAAGGTGATATTGGATGACCCTTGCCCGTCTTGCTTGCGCGGCTGTTTCTGATGTCCCGTCGCCCGCTTCTTGCTCTTGCCCTTCGGCTGAGCTTTTGTGGTAGTCGGTGCTGCTGCGCTGTTGTTTTCGATGTTCTCACGGAAAAGTCGATGCACGTATTCCTGGTCTGTTGCGACGTAGTGCCGTATCGTCGGGCCGAGAGCGAGCGCTATCAGGCCTGAAATACCGCAGCCGAGCTCAACGACTGTCGACGAGGAGGTCAGGAGAGAGTGTTTCCAGAGAGGGTTTGATTGAGAGTCTGCGATCCATTCTGCGAAGGCGGGGGTGATTTTCCATAGGACTGGGATGGGTTAGCTGATTGGTTTCGGAGCTGGGATCTGATGAAGGGGAGGTCTACCTGCACCTGTTGTGCCTCCTGCTCGAGATGAGGAGAGGAGGGTGGGAGATTGGCTGATTGAGTAGTCCTGACCGTGGATGGTCACGTCCACGGTTGTCGCGCGGGAGTCGACGAAGCCTAGGTTCGCGGAGGGGATATCTCTTGAGAATAGGAGGAAGGATTCTGGAGAGGATTAATCCTTGGCTTTTCTTTCTTTCTTTTTTTTTTTTTTAAAAAAAAAAAATCTGGCTTTTCTCTACTAAGGCGCAACTACGAACAAATACATACCCTCTTCGGCATCTTCCACCTCCTCGCCAATAGACGACAGAAAATTATCCAGAACCTCTGTCTGATCCATACTACCTTGCTGAGTTTTATCTCTGTGCCAGCAGTTCAGTCACAATCTAGGAATAAAGCCTAGGCATAAAGCTCCTGCGGGTGAGCTCCGAGGATCGAGCCCCGAACTGTTCTCTAGCGAGGTACCTACGCATAATTAGCCGCTGTTGTGTCAAGGATAAACGGCGTAGCTCCATGTACCCTGTGAATCAGAAATTTTTCTTGTCTCGAGCTTGTGACTTCTGAAGATGCACGCTCCGAGGATAATGATCATGAAAGAACAAAGATTGATACAGTTTTCAAAGGTTTGAAGCTATCCTGAAAGAAGAACAACTGATTGGTCCAATCTTCAAAATTTCTGATCTGGGGTAAAAGAGCTCCAGGTCACGGGACCTGGGCTGTGCCATAGCGTGACCAGTCATCTGCTCAGTTACTGCGAACCTTAGTCCAGGAACGAATGAAAAAGTGTTAAAAGAGTGTCTACCAAGCCTCCAAGTTGCCTAGATTGCCTACTGCCTAGATTTATGGCTTAGAGGGCGAACCGTTTGAGTCTGTCATTGTGTTGGGCAAAAGTCCCAACAAAAGGAGTCTAAGGTCAAGGATCTTCGGAACTGAGCTTTCCCCGTAAGAGAGGTCACTTCCACATAGTGACTGCGACGGACGGAGGCATCTGAGCAGACGTGAGACAACGAGGAAACTAGAGCACCTGATGCTTGTCGTGAACTAAATTAATTATCCACTGGTTAATCTCAATCCATGATCAGAAGCGATCTGTTCGGCTGTATTGAAGCTCGAACCGCGGCATAGCTCCCAGCGAACAGTTACAGTGCATGTAACTTCGGATCTTCCTGACTTGGGCTTGCTCAATCAGTGTCGTGGTGCACAATATTCAGAGTTAAAAAGGAGCTGAGGATCGATAGAATCAATAGAGAGAAAGCAACGTGGATCAAACTGCTTTGTTGTTGTTTTTTGCTTGTTGCTGTCCCTGTAGCGTCATAGTAGCGAGGACCGCAGCTTGGGCCGCCCCCGTCAAGAAAGCCCAGCCACGAACACTCTTTAGGTTCTGACTTCATCCGCAGCAACTCGATCACCTGCGCGGCTTCATCCTCCTCTCCCCTCTCTTTCTCCCAGGCCCAGACTTTCCCCTCTTGGTCTTCTCGAGTGTCCGCGCTTTGTCCCTATATATTTCTGATCCCCTCTCCACTCCTCCTCGATCCTTCTCCAGCATTCCCCGCCTCTCTCGCCTTCAACGTGAATCTCCAATCCTGTACGTCTTGGAAAGCTTTTGACCACCCCCAATTTACCACCTACACTTCTATTTCTGTAGAATTGTTCTTCGAAGATACCCATGAGATTGCGGTGATTGCAATAGCTGCTGACGGATTCGGTCGATCAAACAGGAGCTATTAATACCTTTTCTTGGTCATACAGCTCCCCGGATCTTCCTGATCGCAATTCAAGATGTCGAAGCGAGACATCCATCTCCAACCACGGATGTCCAAGAAGCCTCCATTCACAGTGGAGGCTTCTGGCTACGAGCCCGTACCGGGAGAGACCATCCCTCGTAGATTGCCACAGGCCAAAGACAACCTCATCCTGCGACCCGCGGAGGACGTCGCAACTACCTATGATGTTTTCAGACGGTCCGCGCGTATGTTCGGTAACGCAAAGGCCGTCGGTACTCGTCGCCTTATCAAAACTCACGTGGAGAACAAGAAGGTCAAGAAGATTGTCGACGGTGTGGAGCAGGAGGTCGAAAAGAAGTGGACATATTTTGAGATGAGCGGTTATACCTACAAGAGCTTCGTTGAATATGAACGCCTTGCGCTGGAATTGGGTTGTGGGTTGCGCAAGCTGGGATTGGAGAAGGATAACAAGATTCACCTCTACGGTGCAACAAGGTGAGCTTTACTGGCGGTCTTTATACAGAGGAATGATTGCTGACATATACCTCTTTCAAGTGCACATTGGCTGGCCATGTCACACGGTTCGTTCACTGTTCTCTGCAGCTCCTGCAATAAGCCATTGGCTAATATACTTGAATCTAAACAGGAGCTGCATCTCAATCATTGACCATCGTTACTGCATACGACACACTTGGGGAGGAGGGACTGAAGCACTCTCTGGTCCAGACGTCGAGTCTTGCTATCTTCCTTGACCCCGGTCTTATCCGTTCTCTTGCCAATGTTCTCAGCGATGTTAAGTCTATCAAGCACGTCATCTACAACACCGACCAGGAGGTTAAGCAGGAGGATCTGGACAAGCTCAAGGCGGATTTCGACTACTTGAACATCATGAGCATTGAGGACTTGCGCAAGCTGGGAGAGGAGAACCCTGTCGACCCAGTTCCCCCGTCTCCCGAGGACCTCTGCTGCATTATGTACACCTCCGGTTCCACGGGTCCACCAAAGGGTGTGCCTCTGACGCACAAGAATGTCATCGCTGCGAGTAAGTTAGCTGATTTGAAAACATATTGCGGATTGGCGAAGTTAACGCGTCTCTTCTACAGCTGCTGGTATCAATGCGATTGTTGGCCCTTACATCGGACCCTCCGATGCTCTGCTTACCTACCTTCCTCAAGCGCACATCCTGGAGTTCATGTTTGAGAACCTCTGCTTGTTCTGGGGTGGCACGATGGGCTACGGAAACCCCCGAACTCTGTCGGATACCTCGATGCGCAACAGCAAGGGTGATATCCGCGAATTCAAGCCGACGATTCTCGTGGGTGTCCCGGCTGTCTGGGAGTCTGTCAAGAAAGGTGTGCTCAACAACTTGAACAAGGCCAGCTTCCTTGTAAGGGGCTTGTTCTGGGGCGCAATGTCCGCAAAGACCTTCCTGATGACAAATGGATTTCCGGGAGCCAGCACGGGTGCCTCCATTCTGGATGCAGTCGTGTTCCGTAAGTTGAAGGAAGCTACCGGTGGTAGACTGCGTATTGTGATGAACGGTGGTGGCCCGGTCTCTAAGGAGACTCAGAAGTTCCTTTCTATGGCCATCGCCCCCATGATCAGCGGCTATGGTTTGACCGAGACCTCCGCTATGGGCGCTCTCAACGACCCTATGGCCTGGAACCCGGATGCCCTGGGTGAAATTCCCGGATGTATCGAAGTCAAGCTTGTCGATTTCCCGGATGCCGGCTACTTCACCAAGAACAATCCGCCTCAGGGAGAAATCCTCATCCGCGGTGGTAGTGTGACCTCGTACTATTGGGACAATGAGGAAGAGACCAAGGCCGCCTTCACCGAGGACGGCTGGTTCAGGACCGGTGATATTGGCGAGTTCGACAAGAACGGGCATCTGAAGATCATTGACCGCAAGAAGAACCTGGTCAAGACGCTCAATGGGGAATACATCGCTTTGGAGAAGCTCGAGTCTGTATATCGCTCCTCGCCCGTAGTTGGCAACATCTGTGTTTATGCCGCCGAGGACCAGGACAAGCCCGTTGCCATCATTGTGCCCGTTGAGGTCGCCTTGAAGAAGATCGCCAGTGAGAATGGCATTGAGGGTGACAGCCTCGAGTCGCTTGTTCACAATGAGAACTTGAAGTCCATTGTCCTCAAGCAGCTCCAGAGCGCCGGCAAGGCTGGCGGTCTCAGGGGTATTGAGATCATCAATGGCGTTGTGTTATCTGATGAGGAATGGACACCTCAGAATGTAAGTCTTACCACCCTCTTCTTGAAAACTACAAGCTGACCATATACCCAGGGTTACATGACTGCGGCCCAGAAACTGCAGCGCAAGAAGATCATCAACAAGTTCAGGGCCGACATCGACCGTGCCTATGGCAAATAGTAAGAGGTGGATGACTGATGATTTTTTGCTTTGTTTCCTCCCTAATTAATGTAGAAAATTATTTTTACTGGTCTGTCCCTAGCACACTGTTTTGTTTTCATGTCATTTTCTTCACCTGTTCTTAGTCGCAGCTTTCGTGCCTCGGGAACCTGTGTCTGTTACCGATTCCTTGCTAGTGACAGCAATGCGCTTGAGCGATATGCTATCTTGTCGCCTACCAGTATACAGATGGAGCGCTACTGCTCTGTTGGACAGGTCGAACCTAGTGCTAGGGTTGATACTACTAGTTGCGCATCTAAGTTATCGACACAGGCTCTCGGGCTTTTCGGCTGAATTTACGCCTTCCGTTTTGAGCGACCAAGACACTGTTGATAGTAATATGAGCTCATTCTTCTCTTTCACTGTACGACTATAACGATGCCTGACTGCCTGAGGCAGCAAGAATTGTACGCTATACCGAAAATAGTAAGCCCCGAGCCAGACTACAGATGGGTTAGTACTCCGTACGCTCCGCGACCAACTTAAGTCATTGTAAGAGTCAAGACTCCAAGAAAAGAGCCAAAGGCGAAGGTGCAGCGCAGTGATCCACAATGAGTCTCTGGAGGTACGCAGTGCAGCAGACATTAGCACGCCCTTACAGATACAAGACTAACACTGGCTGCTACAGCTCCTACCGCTCCCTCACCCCCAAGACGCGGGCCCTCTTCGGCGTCGGCCTCATGGCCTGGGCATCTCTCGGGCTGTGGTTCTCGCCGCAGGTCGAAAACGCGATGGGGATGGTACCCAGCGCCGAAGAAAAAGAGGAGCTGGAGAGGAAATTGGCGCTTCGGGTGTCGCGCGTTGAGAAGGGGAATTAGCCTGGTCGAATCTCGACATCGGAAGATATTGATTTCAGGGCCATGGATAGTTCGAACACTGCTTGCGGACTCACTCAGTCGGATAACCCTACCTTGACTTGTCTACGTGGATCACGATATGTACCGAGGAATATAGCCTCGCTGCTGGTTTCCCGGGGGTAAGGGAAAGAGGTTATCGGCAGCGGACACCAGGATACCAAGAACAGAATATAGGCTGACTACGTATACGTGTACGCTGCCCACCATCACGGGTGATCATGTCTGGATCACGTGCCATCAAGCGTCAGGAGCTCGTTTGGCTAAGCGGCACAACATTCGGAAGCCGTTTCGTGCAACGACGGGGTACTGGTGCGGAGATTTGGGATGAGACCGAACGGGACGAAGGTGGTTGGGAATTAAACAGAGAGGAAGGGGCTGTCGTGAGTCTTATCCATTGTTTCAGGGCCGTTGATGAAGGACAAGGGGATACGTGGAGGAACTGCTAGACTGCTTAGTTAGCGAAGCATCAACTATGGACAACGCAACGAAGAATTGCCAGTTGGCTAGAGAACTGCACAGATCCCGGTCATTGCCCACTTCTTGCCACACACTCTGGAAGATGCCACGATGCATCGAATCGGTCATCAGCCAAGTCCACACATGCATGAGAGGATAACCGTGATGTCATCCCCCGACGTGATTGTATGTCAATACTCGTCTAGAAGCAAGATACCCCGGTATGGAAACGCCCAAGAATGAAGCGGAACGGTGGCACACGCGCAGATTGGACGCTGGATGCAACCGTCGCACTAGGATCCTGGTGCCCATCTGCTGATCGTAGTACAAGTATTGAGTGCTTTGCCCTACTTGCCCAGCCTGTGCAGCCTGCAGGAGCAACAATGGAGGAATAGGACTAGTGTGGGAGCTGGAAAGGCTGGGGGCGCTTGCTTGATTACCGTGGAGAAAAGAATATTGAGTCACTCTTGCACGACCACCATCCGCGCCCCTTCCCCCCCCCTTGTACCACATGCATATTGTGGCTTCGCGATTGAATCTTCCAGAGTCAGTATCTAGCCTCGGATTGGAGATGGCTTTTGCATCAGTGAGGGATACGTTGACCATATTTAGGCTCGGGCCATGGGTGATAGGCTTCAGAGCTAAGGTAGACATCAGGAGAGGAATTCTTGTATGTACTAGTTCTATACAATACAGTACACGTCTTCCTGACAGACAGAAATAGAAATTGATGCGACTGCAAGGACTGGATTGTACGGATCGCACTGATGTCAATCCATGATGCTATGGATTCAGTGAAAGCATAACTTCAAAGGTGCATAATTTGACAGCAAGGTGACAGAGTCATATCCTTTGTTGCACTAAGCTAATCTACGGCTGTCTCGTCGATCATGATCGCCCTAGAGTGCACTAAAGACAGCCCACATACAGTAGTAGTCTCGTTAGTCTCATTAGCGCCTATTTCATTCTTGAGGCTTCTTACTCCGTATTCTCAGGTAGACTAATTACTGCTGCATGATTTCCTACCCCGTACTTGTTTGGAATCCTGCAGCTTCCCTTTCATCTATGTTTCTATTTCCGCGACTATCCCGAGTCCCAACCTTTAGTCTGAAGTCAAACCGTACGCCATATTCCAGTAATGACAAAGGGAAGGCGAAGTTTGCCAACGAAGCAACGCAACCAAAAAGGGGGCTGGCTACTCGAGAGGCTTGAGCGAGGCGCCTCGCCCAAAGAGGTTGTTGCTACTTGCTTCCAGACTCCTTTTTTTTTTTTTTTCCTTGTGTCCTGTATGGACTATGGAGTACGCCGTACTTAGCTAGATACCTAAAGGCAGACAAGACACACCGCTGCGGCCCTGCATGTCGATCATAGCATGCATCCATTGGCCGCCTTAGTCTGGATATGACTTCCTCCTCTTCTACCACTAGAAAGAAGCGGTGACTCTCGAAGCAGCCATGGTAGGCAGCAGCTCAGTCGCATGTATTTCATTCTCCTATCTCGACACCCACGCAAGGTTCTGACTCGTAGGAACTGGGTCGCACAGGTAACAGCAGAAAGTGACAGCGGAACGGCCCCTAAGCAATCACAACAGGAGCAAACGGACGTATCGGAGAAAATACAAGGTTTTTGACAGGGTGCGAATCTCATGATGGATTGCACAAGATTCGGAGCCAATTGATCCTTTTCCCTTGCCAATGTCACTGTGCTTTTGGAGGTGCTCCTGCTTCGTATGGGCTCCCTGATGTCGATCCTGTTGATCCTTGGATCATGTCTCTTCTTCTCTCTACGTCGAAAGCACACTAGATAATTATGTGCTAGGAAGCAAGGTGGCGCCTCAATTTTCCCAAACGGGTGATTGGTTGCATGATGGATTCCTTTCTGTACTGTGGCTGCTTGTGCACTGCAGAGCCCGGATGTACTCGGTGAACCCTGACACATTCCCAACGTCAAACAAACACCGGCGATAATGTGGATACTGCGAGTAGACATGGTTTGGTATACATTATCATTCAGACTATCTTTTTCGCCCAGAAAATTCAAGCCTCCTTTCCTTTTATCCTTCCGGAGGAGACGGAACTGTAAGCTAGAAGAAACACAAAGTGAGAAAGTAAACCAAGAAATAGTAGCCATTTAGAAGAATCGGATACGTGGCAAATATTAAATCAGACGCTAACTTGTCATGCGATTTCTTGCTCCGGTGATGGATGTGCTGTCGATCGACTCAATTTGTCGGTCTACTGCTCGTGCAGATGTGAGCCGTCCAAACTATGCGGACATTGTCTAGGTTGAACCTAGACTGTAAAAATTGCCAAAAGGTAAATGTAAATCTCGAAACTAAGACGCTTACAACTTTAAGGGGCAAATAAAAAAGCCGCAAAAATTGAGAGGGAGAAGGGGAGAAACCTAGGGCAGGCGAGCTGCGCTCCCACTGCTAAGCACGCAGACTCTGCGAGTTCGAAAATCGGCAATAAGGAGTGTCATTGTTTGAACGAGAGGGGACGAGGGGGTCATAGCCCCTGGATGTAGGGATATGTTGAAGCTGCGGCGTCAGGCGAGTGGGATGTTTCAGAAAATGCGAGGTTTCACTGGCTTCGCTCGTGAATATTGACGTCATCGAGTCAAACGACTCGGGATAGCTGTTGCCGGACTCCTCACTTCCCCTAGACAGTGTATCATACTCAAACGGCGGTAAATGCGTGCGGAAATGGTTGTCGGGTTTACGGTCAAGGAGACCGAAACCACCGTCGGCGTACCCGTCCATGCTTGACGGGCTTTTGATGGTGCCTAGCGGATCCATGGGATCATTTAGAATCCCTATATCAAATGCAGACGACGAGGATGACGAGATGTGCGGACTATCACTCAATGGGGATGGCTCCGCCATGTGTTGATACTCCGCTCGACCGTAATGAGACCCTCCGCGTGAAGACGGATCGAACGACATCATCAGATGCGATCGCGCCCCTGGTAACAGACCTGCAGGCACACTGCTATCGCCATAACCGCCATTACCGCCGTCCGGACCCATGCTCGTCGAACTATCCCGTCGACCGTCCTTGTAATGACCTGGAGAACGACCCCGGACCACCATGGGATGTGAAAGTTTTCTAGCGACCTTCATCCACTGCGTCTCACTCCCGTTGTTAGGATTCGTAATCTCCGCATAGAGCTCGACAACCAAGTTGTAGTACTGCTGCTGCGCCCGGCGCTTGCCGTTGTTCGCTGTCGCCTTCTGGAACTGAATACGCTCGAATGTGTGCTGCGTCGGCGGCTGTGACTGCTGCGGAGCCCCGGTGTATGAGGAACTGTAGTCCATCGACAATGCGGCCGATTGAGAGTTCAGCGCAAACGCGTGCTGCCCACCACCACCAGTCGTTGCACCGTGATTGAGAAGCAATGGCGGCGGCGGCTGGCAAGGTTGCAGGACGACTTTCCCCGGCTTCCTTTCGGATTGTTTGTCACGTTTCGGAGTGTGCTGAACCAACTCTCGAATCTCACCGTACTGTGCATTTACAACTGCCGATATGCACATGGAAAACTTTAGGATGCGCTCCGTCGTCTGATCAGAAACCTTCAGGTAAAGAGGAGCACGCGTCCATGGATGTAAGGAAAACGAGCAGGAGACCGAGAAATAGTTCCGCCGATAACAGGTCCATTTGTCGTCCACTTGAAAGAAGCCTTTATGTATCTTGGCGTGAATCTCTGGTTTGATGGCTTGACTGCCTGCGACTATCGGCAAAAGTATATTAGTCTCGTGGAAGGGAGGTGCGTCCGCTACTGGCTGGGGTAAGCGCTGTTGGGAGTCCATGTAAATATTCCCGGTCTGTCCGAAGAACAGATTGTGGGGAGTATCAAACGAATGATCGAGGCCCCGTGGAGTACTTGTATACGACGAAATCCTCGGCATTTCGCTCAGACTCGATAGGGAAGGGCATGTACTTCCCCGTTGAAGGGCGTACTGTGTTGGATAGTTCTCATGGCGACCTAGGATCGAGGAAGAACTGGAAAGACCCTGTCCTTGCGACTGAAGAGCGGACGACAACCCGGGCGGCGGCTGACTAGGAGGACTGGTCAGTATCATCGACATCGCTTCGACCGATGTTGTATAAACAAGCAAGTGGCTAGACCTACAGTGCAGGCACACGATGTGGCCGAAAGTCCGGCATTCTCTCGTATGGCGAGCTGGTTGAATGTGAATAAATAGAGCCTGATGCAGGAGAAAATGGACCTGAAAAAAGGCATACAGCATTAGCGAGAGCCGTTATAGCAGATTGTAACTCAATAAAAAGAACGAATCAAGTTTTCTTGTCTCGAAGCAAAAGAGAAACATACCGGAGCATGGATCAGAATGGTTCATAAGAGGGGATGCCCCAAAGCTGAAAGGAGCAAGCCTGGTCAGCAAAAAGACCGAGTCCTAATTTGGTACCAAAAGCTGCGTCTTCAACCGGGGGGCAAAAAGGCAAACGAAGTGAACAAAAATAAGATGACGCCTCATCCTGGAAGGCACTGCGTATATAAGAGACTCGATCCGGAGTTGATGGGAGGCTTTCTGCGACAGCATGATGAAGACATCAAATAACAAGACCAGCAAGGAACAGCATCCAGAGGCATGCAAGTCCAATGTGCTCAAGTAACGAATTTCGAAAATAAAAAAGAAAAAGGAAAAAGAAAAAAGATAGTGAAAAAAAAAAGAAAATGGAATCTGATGAAAACCAGCAGAGGGGCAAAAGAAGCAAGCACATAGAGAGTGTCTGGACAAGAAAGGTACTGTACACTGTGACTAGTACCAGGCAGGCAAGCGGGCCAAGTGGAGCACAAGAGTAGTCTGAATTGAAAGACAACTTACGCTACATCCTGCATTGCAGACTGTTGTGTGCTGTACCTCAAGCCGTTGGTGGCAGGGATCGAGACTGGCTGCGCTATGGAAGGGCCAATAGCACCGTTTCGTCGGCGGTTGTCCTCATCGTCCATAGAAAAGCCGGTAGGGCCAGCAAATTGTCGTGGTGCCCCGGTATAATCGCTGTCGCTGGTGACAGATCCCTCCAGGAACGGGCTCTGCAAAAGGGTTGCTGGCGGACAAAATAAGGGTCAGAGACGGAAGTACAGCACAAGCAGGACATGCCATGGTATAAAAACAGAACAAAGAAATAATACATTTTTGAAAAATAGAAAAAAAAGTAGGTAGCAAAAAGAAAAAGAATAAGAAAAAACAAAAATAAAATTGGAAACACTAAAGGAGGGATTGCTCAAGCTTCGCCTTGTCTGAAACAGGCGACATCCCTGTCGCCAAGGATCACCGTAAGGCTTCATACTGTTCACTACTCCCACGATAAAGATTTTTGCAGCACCTTGTAGCAAGAACGAGGTCGATTGAGATAGCAATGGACAGAAAAGACCGCGTGCCATCGGGGGCCCAGTCCTCCACGACATATACACTAGTTACCGGAGCGGCATATCGGACAAGTAAAAGATCGCACCAAATGAGTGGAGATGCAAGACTATGGAGTGGGCAAAGAGAAGAGGCTGAACTTACAATGGTTCATTTGTCAGATTCCCAGGTATCTGCCGTTGTCCGTTTTGGTCTTCTGAGTTGATAGGCGTCTGATTGCCGCCAGGATTTTCCCGAATTGAGCAAGCACTCTAGTAACTCGAGTATCGAAGCACTATGCTTTCAAAGACGTGAATAAGCGTCTGATCAGGTCAAACAGAAAATAGGCAGCCTGGCAAATGTTCTCCTGTTATTAACTTGCGAGTATTGCAGCTAGGGAGATTTTTTCCGAATACCCGTCGAACGGAAGGGACTCGAATTGGCAACAAGGCTTCCGGTATTATCAGCGAGGAAACAAGCCAATCAAAGACTGTTGGCTTATTCCCAGCGGGATTATGGGTTATCAAAACGTCTGCGACTTTCCTGTTAATCGGAGGCTTTCCCTGGAACATGTAAGCTTGGCCTTGAACTGACTGCTATGGATGTCAAGGTTGCGAATTGATAGAAAGGTGAGATGGGTATTGGAGAGTGTTTCGGGGAACCCAAGGCGAACAGAAATCCAGAGAAAGACGATAATAGAACACCATAGGAATAGAGATCGAATACGACGGTAGCCAACCAGAAACTCGCTTCACGGACGAAGTGCATGCATACTCGTTCGAGATTGATATAATCTTTCGGCTGCTTGGACTGTCTTCTGGGACTGCATCGTAATTTGCTCGAGGAAGATATCGCTTCTTCCCTGGGCAGCCATACATGATAGGAAAATATAATTTTTCCAACGTCCGCGGATATAATAGTAGAAAGGAGGCAAGGCGTCGGGTCGGCTGCATATTGGTGGAGATATCCACAAGTTCACAAGAGAACGCAGATAATGGACAAGATAATAAACGAAAGAAAAAAAGGCGAAGAGTAAGATATGAAATATGGACTTACTCATTCAGTAGATGCTCGGCTGATGTATGAACAAAAATGCCGGTATGAGCAGAATGTAGCTCTTCTCCCTGCGAATGTTGAATGCTTAAGCTGCACGCATACGTAGACCAGTTGTCGTACTGTTCGGTCTGTCCACGTCGACAAGGCGGTTGTCAGACTGAAACCACCCAGTTCTCAACCTCTCACACAGCAAGATGGAGTAGTCCAAGCGGATTCGCAACGAATAGATCGAAGAAGATTCAGGGTAGTTCTTCCAAGCTATCTTCCGAACCACTCAGTGGACGTTAAACGAAGACCGAGAATGGACGCCTATGGCCGCGGACTTGAGGGACAAGCTCGATAGATATTCGATTCCGGATACTGGGTCAAAGATGCTTTGCGCATGTCATGTTGGTTTCCTAGGCCTAGATATCCACCCAAGTGCGCACGACGCCCGTTTCTCCGTTTCTTTCTAGCCTGGCCCCTCTGTGTCCAATAACAATCCTGGTAGACATGCGGCGGAGTCTCTGCAGAATCTTCGTTGCGTACAAGGCTAAATGACTTCAAGTTGCTGGATTAAGCTTGCGGCCGAAGAGTGATCTCGCCACGAGATCTTGGTAAAATTGAAGTCATGCCAGGGTTAACAACATTGGTTGTAACCGAACGAAGGAAACTACAATGGCTGGTGGCAGTAGGAAGGGGTCCAACCGTACTCGCTTGAATTTCTAGATGCTCTCTTTTCTTTTTTTCTTTTTTCCTTTTCCTTTTCTTTTTCTGCCTTTCTCCTGGAGCACTTGTTCTCTTTTCCCTTATCCTTTTTGCAAAGTTCTCCAACGAGTACTGTCATGTCATTTCCGCAGCCCTGTCCTTCTTGTTCTGTACGGGACGAAGCAATAATTTCGATAATGAGCATTGTTGCATTATCTCATAGCGTGCATGTAAAGTTGGCCACTGTCAGTAGAACAGGTGCCATTGGCCAATCTGCACGTTACATCTCTCTGGTCCAAGCCACAGGCAGACTTCAAGCTGCACAACAACTGAGTAGTTCCAAGTTAAGGGTACCCTAATGTTGTCAAAATCTGACTGGACGCTTGATTTGGTGGAATGATCTAAATAGAGTAATTGTAGTCAAGTCACCTGTTCTTAGCGTCAATATCTGGCAAACGGCAGGGTGCATCAGAGCAGAAAAAAAAAAAAAAAAAAAATAAGATGGAACTAGAGAAATTAGTAGCGTAGATCATCAACCCGGATATCCCGTGCAGACCCCAGTCGCATGATGGGGCCCTGGTGTCGAACTGCTGGGCTTAGTTAGTCATAAGGGGCCAATAACTAACTGCGGGAGTTGCAAAGAACGGTTCTTTGTGAAGCGCAGCAACGCTAGACGAGGGGAGGATACGCTCATGGCGAGTCAACACGGTTCTAGTCTTCCCGGTGGAGACGATCTAAAATCTCTCAAAAGAAAAGTTGTCCCCTAGACCCTAGTACACTGGAGTCTTGGACACTTTTCGAGGCACGAGTAGGTCTTGCATGAATGAGAGATCAGGCGATCGGCGGTCCGATCGAAAATCACTGTTGGCTGTTTGCTCACCGACACGACCGACAGCACCGAAATAGGTATGCAGCGTGCACAAGCTACCATAGAGTAGAATCTGGAATGGTAAGAATGGGGTGCTAATCTCGAGCTGAACTGGCATCCAATGACCGAAGCCCGGCTGCTTTTCCATCGGCGGCTCCCGGGACAAGGTACTTTGGTTTCGAAAGGGTATGGACAGTGGAGGGATCCATGACGCGGAAAGAAATGACCCATAGAGACTGCATACATACAGAGTGCACAGCATGTTTTCCAGAAATTCGAACATCTGGCCCACCGACAAGGGAATGAGACAGAAGACAAGACACTCGGCGTATTGTGGAAGGGTATTACGGGTAATCACCCTGGATGCTGTGAAGTGACCACACACACTGCTTCTTTTTTAATGAGGGATCATCTGGTGGCTGAATGATCATCCAGGCATGCAGGAAGCTAGTTGGTTCGAATGCAATTCTCATCGTCCTGGAGCGGATGACAAGGTCATTTCATTGGTCGAGTGCCAGAATTTGAGATTACTTGGTTTGGGGACCAGGCTGCG